TCTGGGTGTTGCCTGCCCGGCTTCTGTCCCTGGCCTCACAGAGGCACCCTGTGTGCAGCCTGAGCCTGGCATTCATGTACCCCACATGCCCTGCCCTGGGCACTGCCTGCTGCCACCCCATAGCGCACTGGACATGCCACACCCACCTTTGCCTCACTCCTCTTCCTCCAATTCCAGAGACTCTGAGGTCCTTGTCAGGAAGGGTCTCTATGGGCTGGATGCAAGCACAAGTCTTCCATGGAACCAGGGGGGGACAGACACACAGACAGACAGAGGTGGACATGGAGAGGGGAGCTCGCACACAGCCACCATTGATCATTTAGGAGCGGCCCGCCCTCACACCCAGCACGTGCTGCTGGGCACACAGACCAGCGCTAACACAGAGTGGGTGGGGCCAGGATGTGAACCCAGGAGGCAGGACCAGTGGGCACTGACCTGGGGCCTGGCTGCTGCCCCCACCTCCAGCATAGAGTTTAAACTCATCTGGGTCCCTGTGCAGAGAGATCATTTATTGAAAACAGCACCTATAGCACCCCCCCATTCCACGTCAGAGTACTTGGGCTATACTAATGCTGACGCTGGCAGGCAGCAGTGATGGGGCCATCCTGCCACTCAGCTGGGAGACCTGGACAGAGTTTGATCTTGCCACTTAAGCCCTGGTTCAGCACTGGCTCTTTCAGACATTTGGGAAATGGATGGGAGCACTCCCTCAACCTTTCTCCCTTTCTCTCGCTCATCAAGTCTCTGCCCCTGAAATAAACAACTTTTTAAGATGCTCTTCCTGGGGCCGGCGCTGTGGCCTGGCAGGTGAGGCCACTGCATGCTAGTGCCAGCATCCCATATGGGCGTCACTTCGAATCCTGGCTGCTCCACTTCTGATGCTGCTGTGGCCTGGGAAAGCTGCAGAAGATGGCCCAAGTGCTTGGGCCCCTGCACCTGCATGGGAGACCCAGAAGAAGCTCCTGGCTCCTGGCTTTGAATAGCCCCAGCTGGGGCTGCTGCTGGCATTTGGGAGTGAACCAGCGGATGGAAGACTTCACTCTCTCTGCCTCTGCCTCTCTGTAACTGTGCCTTTCAAATAAATAAATACATCTTAAAAAAATAAAATCAAATGCCCTTCCTATGGCGTTGGAACAATTGGATGCTTTTCATAATGTAACACTTGCACTTTGATACTATCAAGGACTGACCTATTTTTTTAGATGGGATAATGATATTGTGGCTGTATGTATTTTTTATGAAGATTTACTTACTTACTTACTTACTTACTTAGCTAAGCAGAAGAGTGACGCACACAGTGAGAAATCTTTCATCCACTGATTCACTCCCCAGATGGTTACAACAACCTGGTCAGGGCCAAGCTCTGCACACAGCGCCTTATTCATCGGTACTGGACGACAGGTGCAGGCCATCTACAGATAAGGAACCTGTGGCTCCGTGACTCAGCAGGCAGGGGGTGGCAGCCGGGACATCGCTCTTCTGCCAGGCTCTGCAGCTCCCTTTCCCGCGGGGCTCGGGGGAGGCTCTCAGCTCTCACTGGCTGCGGGCCAGTCACCTAACCCTGTGGTCTTTGGTCTCCTCCTTAGCTGCTAGGGCGCGGGCTGGGAAGGTGGTGCAGGTGCAGGATCCCCTCCCTGCCCAGCACTCGCATCTTCCTCCCCTTGCAGCTCTCACCCCAGGGCAGGTGTCCCCTTGAGAGCTGGAGGCCACCTGCAAAGTCGAGACCGGCCCCCTAGGTGGGGAACTGCCCAGGTGGACAGGTCGCTGATGAGGAGAGAGAAAGGGGCTCCAAGAGGACTGGCCTGGGTCTTGGCGGCAAGCCAGAAGGAGGGGAGGGAGGGAAAGGGAGAAGCTCAGATCAAAGCGTGCAGGAGCAAGGCCAGGTGCCCTGAGCGCCCCCGGATGCAGAGACCCTCAGAGGGCGGGGTGAAGGTTCAGGGCCCCTGGGGCCCACAGGGAGGCGGGGTGCGGAGGAAGGAGGAAGGGGCGGGGAAGGGCAGTGCAGAGAACAACTCAGATCAATGGCACCACCTGCCGGCAGTAGAGCACACTTGGCCCAAGCAGGGAACAAGCCTTGGGCTGAGTGACTTACCTGGTCCTTGTAGGCAGGTCTCAGATTCCTTCCCCTGCTTTTCTTCCCTGCGACCCATGCTGCGTGTAGGACACACAGGACACCATCTCCCACCCCCAGCACATGACCACGCCCAGTAGGGTCAGCTCACCAGGTTATGGGGCTGGCCCCTGGGAGCTTGCAACAGGGAATCCGGTGGGAGAGCCACATACCTTGGGGGAGGGGTGTCAGTGCTGGGGGGCCCACGGGAGGGTCCTGGGCTGACCTCAGCAGTCTTTACAACTCGGTCACGTCCACAGGACTTGACAGCCAGCAAGGGGCTGTGTCTGTCCCTGAGCTGCTCCGACCAGGTGGGACTGCAGGTGCGGATTCTCAGTTGTGGGTGGGGCAGCAGCCCCTCAGGTGTTGAGAGCCTTGGCCATCAGCTGGTTAGGCCAGGTATGGTCCTGTACCCAGTCAGGTCTCAGGCCAGTCCTTCACAGTTTCCAAGGCTGGGGACTCCCGGAGAGAGAACAGAATCGCCAGTTGTGGGCGATGATTAAGCCCGAAGCTCCTGGACCCTCTCGCCCCCAGCGGGATTCCCCAGCCATGCGGCCCAGGCAACCCCCTGCCCACGCCTCCCCTCACCCAACTTCAGGCTGTTGTGGGTCTGTCCCAGGTTTCCTGGCCCCTTGGAGCCGCAGCCCGATTTGCGCCCAAGAGTCCCCCAAACCCTGAGGCTCTAGGCACCCGAACTCTCCCCCTTTTCCCGCCGAAGCTGAAGCAAGCGCATCAGGACTGCGACACCAGGACAAGGCACATCCTTGTCCCCTCAGGCTCCAGTCCTTGTCTCTGCCCATCAGCGTCCCGCCCCGTAGGGTGAACACCAGGCTTAGGGGAGCAGGGCGGGGGTCTTGATCCGCTCTCCCTGGGGGTAAAAGCTCTGTGCTCCCCACACCAGCCCTCTGCATCCAGAGACCACCTGCGGGTGTAGAGGCTTCCTCGAATCCCACCCCTCCTTCCCCGTTTCACTTCCACCTGTCCCCAGGGGCCATGTCCAGCAGACATCTGCCAGTCTCCTTTGAAATCGCTCCGCCCCCAGAGGAGCTGAGACAGGGCAGAGGGGACACCCTCGCTGGCCCCCTCCGTGACCACACCCCATCCTGCTCAGCCACCTGCCCAGCACACGGATGCCTTATGATGGAGCCGCCGCATGCAGCTCCCCTGTCTGCTTCCAGTTCTCCTCCAGCCTCTTCTCTGCACTCCCTCTCGCCTCCCCCAGGAGAAGGGGATGTGGCACCCACTTTCTGTGTACAGTCCCAGGAGGGCAGCTGCCTGCAAGAATCTTGTTTGGTGTCTACTGCTTCCTATCTGAGTCCCCGGGGCGCCCCCTCCCCCTCCCTCCCTCAACTCCTGGGCACCTTTGTCCCCTTTCGCCCAGGTCAGCTCCTTCTCTCCTCTGTGGGGCTTTGTGCAGCAGCCTCTGTGTCTCTGCCTCCTTGTTCTCTGCTCCCCTCCCTCCCTCCCCAGCCCCCAGACTCCAAGCCCTGGGCTCCAGGCCACCAGTATTTCAGATGTGGGGAGTTGCAGGCTCCCAGGATGCCGTGCAGTGGCCCCCAGCTCCCCCTCCCCAGAGCCATCACCCCGTTTCTGAGATGAAAGGAAAAACCCCAGGGTGGGCTGGGGAGGCTGCCCCTCTGGCTGGAGCTGGGGTCAGGAGGAGCCTCTGCCTGCTCACCTGAGCGCACCTGTGTCCCAAGGAGCCAGGTAGAGGGTGTCGTGCTGGGTGGGGAGGGGCCAGCCCCCATCTTGCCTTGGCCTGGAGCCCCATCTCACCTGCCCAGGGCTTAAGAAACCTGGAGCCTTTGTCTGTGCGCCCCATAGGGGATGGGCTGGAACAAGTGCCAGGGGAGCAAAGATGGGGTGGGTGGGAGTCCTCCCCTCCTCCCTGTGGCCCTGGGAGCTCCCCGCCCCCACGTCACCTCCAACCCCCACCACCAACCACCTGACCCCAGATGCAGGCTCCCTTTAGAAAGAGCCCCCACCCCTGCCCTGAGAGCAAGGAGGGGGAGCTGTGGGCTGAGGTCCTGAGGTGGTCAGGTGACTTCCGGTCTGCAGGTGGCTCTCTGTTTCCTCACTAGGGGCAGTGGAGTAAGTATTCCTGGGGTCACCAGGGAACCCAGTTTGTGTTTCCCAGCACCCAGGAACAGTGGCTCAGGTCTCCTGGGGATGCAGGGGGAACAGGGCATCCCAGAGCCTGGCCCAAGGCCCTTCCAGCAGTGCCGGGACCCGCCAGCCTTGGGGGTGCGCAGGCGCAGGAGGCACTGTAGCCGCTGTTCCACAGCCTCCTGGGGCTCCTGCTGCCCCTCCATGTGCCCAATCGCACCTTCAGGGAGCCTTGGCCTTGCCCCTCTGCTCCCTGGGAGATCTGGGACTCTAAACCTGTCCCAGGGCAGCCTGGAAGGTCCCTAGGGGCCCTGACGTCCTTCATTTGAGATGGGAGCATGGCCTCAACCCCCTGGGCTGGACCATGGGCAACTGCCCCAGCCTGGAGTGCTCCATAGATGGGCACCCCCTCCTCACCTCGGGTGCCCCCACCCCCTGCCCCAACAGATGCCCTGGGCGACTGCAGGTGGGCAGAGACTGTGAGGTTGGGGTATTGTCTTCATGCTGTAAGGCCTGGCGTGGTTCCCGTGGAGTTTGGCTTTTCCAGACACCCACAGAGGGATCAGCACAAGGTCCTGTCTTGGCCAGTCTCAGTTGGACTCCTGGAGCTGGGACCCAATGGGAATGATGCCCAGCTGCTTGTCCACTTCCTGCATGACTTCCTCAGGCATCCAGGTGTGGCCCCTCCCCTTGTAACCCCACCCTACGCTGCTCCTCCCAGGGGGCAGCCCAGAACACTGACCAAAACATTCAAATCTCTCAGAGCAATCCACACTTCCGGGAGTCCAGGTCGAATCACTTCTCCAGCCACATACTGGACCCTGGGAGAGGGGACACCTGTGACCCTACCTGGAGCCCTGCAGGCAGAGGGTGGCACCGGGATGATCAGCTCCACAGCTCCTGTGCCCCTCCACCCTGAGAAGACCCTGCAGAAGCAGTGGCTGGAAGCGCTGGGAGCCACCTACCATATGGTGCTGACTTTCATCTTTATGGGTGAGAGGGAGGGGAGGGGAGGGGATGGGAGGATGCCTAGGGTAGGCCAGGGGTAAAGGATATGGCTGGAGGATGGCTGTGCCCTGGCCTGGACACCTGGGCAAAATAATGGGGACAGAACCACAGCAGATGCCCCCGACAGGTGTTCCTGCAGGTGGAAGAGGGGGGAGCTGGGCTGAAGAACTGGGCTCCAAAGGAATTCATGTGTTTCCTCACCATTCCCCAGGTCCTTTCTTCTTCGTGGTTCTCTTCCTCCTCCTCTTCACACGGCTCTGGCCTCTGTCTGTTCTCTACATGATGTGGATCTACCTGGATAGGCACACACCCAGCCAAGGTGAGCTCTGGGCTGGGCTCCAGGTGGGGAGAGATGGGGAAGGTACCTCGGGGACTCTACCACCCCCATCTCTGCCCACAGGGGGAAGGTGATTTGTGTGGCCAGTGACCTGGGCCATCTGGAAACACCAAATGGATTACTTTCCTATCAAGGTGAAGGGTCACCCTCCACAGGGACGCCTCCTCCCCCTTCCCTACCCCACTCCCCTGCACCTGCTCCCCTTCCCTGTCCTGCAGCCTGAGACCTGCTGCCTAGGCTCACAGAGGAGCAGAGGTGAACAGGTGCACCTAATCCCATCCCAGAGCCTTGATCTCTGAGGTCAGCAGGGGCAGAGGCAGCACCTGCAGCTGCTGTCTCCCCTCTCTGCCTCCCTCCTCTCCTGCAGCTGGTGAAGACAGCAGAGCTGCCCCCCAGCCAGAACTACGTGCTGGGGGCCTACCCCCACAGGGTCATGTGCACCGGAGCCTTCTGTAACTTCACCACCGACTGCAATGACTTCTCCCAGCGCTTCCCAGGGCTGCAGCCCTGGCTAGCCACACTGGCCGGCCTCTTCTACCTTCCAGTCTTCCGAGACTACGTCATGGCTGGTGGTGAGCCACAGGCTAAAGGGCAGGAGACAGCCCCTGGCCAGGGCATTCTGCACCAGGACTCCACACCTGTCCTGAGCACTGGCAATGCTCTCCTTTAGCACAGGGTGGGATGGGGGCTTGGAAAACCAGGAGTGGGGCTCCCCCTTCCCCTGCTAACGGGTGGGGTGAGGGACTCGGGAGAGTCACTGAGGGACTGTTGATGGCTCCCCACTGCACATGACACAGGACTGCGTCCCGTGAGCCGGCACAGCCTGGACTTTGTGCTGTCTCAGCCCCAGCGGGGCCAGGCGGTGGTCATTGTCATCGGGGGTGCCCAGGAGTCACTGTACTCGGCCCCAGGGCGGAACTGCCTCGAACTCAAAAGACACAAAGGCTTCGTGCGCCTGGCACTGAGGCACGGGTGAGTGGGCATGCAGGAGCCAAGGCTGGGCTGGGTCCCGGGTCAGACCTCAGAATACCCACAGCTGACACAGCGCTCTCCGGAGCCGACAGCACACCCCACACCAGGATGCACCTGTCGGCCCTGATGCCACCTTGTCAGACCTGGCTGTGCCCACTTCTCCTCCTCAGTGAGCAGCCTCAGACTGAAACCAGCAAGGACGTTGGGCCCAGAGCCCTGGGTTCTCCTTGTGACCCTGTCTCAGAGACCAAGTCTTGGACTTGACCTTGACCTGTACCCAGGGCTGTCACCTCCCTTGGCACCAGGCTGCAGCTGTAAACACTGAGTGAGAACATGAGTACGCCAAGCCCACCACACAGCCATTGGTCAGGACAGCTGAGGTTCCTTCCAGAACTTTCCGGGCAGACATAAGAGCTTTCAAAGACTTAGAAGTGGCCACAGGAAATAGGGGAGGGACATTTTGCCCCAAGGGTGCCGGTGTGGCCATCTAGGACCCTGAGCAGAGTCCTCTCTCTTCCTCGCCCCTCCCAGGGCCTCCCTGGTGCCTGTGTACTCCTTTGGGGTGAACGACACCTTCAAAGGTATGAATTTCTCCAAAGGCTCCTGGCAGTACCTGTGCCAGGTCACCTGCAAGAGGGTCACCAGCATAGCTCCCTGCATCTTCTGGGGCCGTGGTCTCTTCTCGCCCAACTCCTGTGGTCTGCTTCCCCTGCCCGTGCCCATCACCACCGTGGGTGAGTGCCCATCCACAGGGAGGAGGCTGCCGTGGGTGGCACGGCCAGCGGCAGCTCTGGCTCACCCGTGTCTCCCTCCCCTGCAGTGGGCGGCCCCATCCCCGTGCCCCAGTGCAGCAGCCCCAGCCAGGAGCAAGTTGACCACTACCACAGGCTCTACATGGACGCCCTGGAGCGGCTGTTTGAGGAGCACAAGGAGAGCTGCGGGGTCCCTGCCTCCACCCACCTCACTTTCTTGTAGGCTTGGTTCAGCCTCCCTGCTGAACCCCTGAGCCCCATGCACTGAGACCCCCAGCTCCTGCCTTGACCTCCCTTCCAATAAAGGCTGGTTCTGGAGGGGAGCGCGGCCAGGCACAGCCACCCTGTCCTGTCTGCTGCAGAGGGGCCGCCTGGGTTTGGTCTCAGCACCCTGCATTCTCCTGCCAGGAGAGCTGACTGTGCCCCAGGACCTGGGAGACGTCTCCCCCTCCCGGGCCCCTGCTCCCCCTGTGAAGCAAGGCTGCCGCTTAGTTCAGAGCTGGCAGAATCAGGACAGGGTTGGGAGGAGACCCCGGAGGGGCAGGGAGTGGGCAGCTGGGGCAGAGCTGAGCTGGTCAGGGCCCAGCAGGTGCAGGGATGGGAGGACCCAGGGCAAGAGCAGAGAGAGCTGAGCACAGAGCTGCCCCTGGGCTCCCCAGCCTTTAGTGTCCTTGGAGCTGGGAGAGCAGCCGAGGCCAGGCTGTGTTTCAGCAGCATCCAGAGCCAGTGCCACCAGCAGGAGGCTCAGCCCCACAGGCCGAGGTGAAGATGCAACGGATGAAGACGTGAAGGCTTAGGACAGAGAAGGGCTCAGGGTGAGGGCCCGGGGAGGCTCCTACCCATCTTCTCATCATCGGTGTCCCCGTCATCCCTGCTGGTGCTCGGGGAGACGAGGGCTGAGACCAAGGTCCCAGTCTGCATCAGCTTTGGTCTCTGTAAGCAAACACCTGGCTCTGGCCGTTTGTGAAGAGATCGTGTTGGAGTTCAAGTTCATGGTTCCTGTATGACCTCAGGTGTGGTCACCACTGCATGGAGAGTGGTGGATTAAAGTTACATCAGATCCTGGTCACACCAGCTCCTGCTAATGGCCTGGGAAAGCAGCAGGAGACGGTCCAAGGGTTTGGGCCTCTGCACCCACGTGGGAGACCCTGGTAAAATTCCTGGCTGGTGGCTTTGGCTGGCCCAGCCCTGGCTGATGTGGTCATTTGTGGAGTGAACCAGGAGATGGAAGATCTCTCTCTCTCTTTCTCTCTGTAACCCTGACCTTTAAAATAAATAAATGAGGGGCTGGCGCTGTGGCACTTTAGGTTAATCCTCCACCTGTGGTACCAGCATCCCATATGGGCACCGGTTCTAGTCCCGGCTGCTCCTCTTCCAATGCAGCTCTCTGCTATGGCCTGGGAAAGCAATAGAAGATGTCCCAATTCCTTGGGCCCCTGTACCTACATGGGAGACCGGAACGAAGCATCTAGCTCCTGGCTTTGGATCGGCGCAACTCCAGCCATTTCGGCCATCTGGGAAGTGAACCAATGGAAGAAAGACCTTTCTCTCTGTCTCTCCCTCTCACTGTAACTCTACTTCTCAAATAAATAAATAAAATCTTCTATAAATAAATGAGTATTTAAAAAAAAGGAGGGGAGAGGGAACAATTGCTGGCAGGCTCTGAGAATTGTCCCAATGTCTCTCCCCTTTGTCCCCAAGCTCCGGTCCCTGTGTAGGTCAGAGACTCAAGAGTCGCTTCCCAACCGTTGACTTTGATGTGGCCCGTGCTCTGTTCTGGCCCCTTTGGATGTTTGCCCTGTTGACTGTTCAGGCTGGGCTGCCCCGATCGGAGACCCTGAAGGTGTCCAGATCTGACACTTGTTTTTTAAACTCCCACCTGGTTTCACAAGCAAAGGCTACCACACCTGATTTCATTTGCAGGTTGCAGTTGACATACATCATCAGCCACGTTGGCCACCCAACCCGGAACCACACTGTAGGCTGACATTAAGCTTTTCCTTCCCAACTGTCTTCTCTCAGATATTTAAAGTGTCAAACGCAGACTAAAGCGCAACCCAATGCAGAAATCGAGTCAGCCTTTCGCTCACTCCTCACTCCTACCACGTGGAAGAACTGAGCCAAGTACAAGAAATACAAGGACGGCTGAGACATCCTTGTGAACAGGGTTCATCGCGGCTCCGTGGGTGAAGCCTCTGCCTGTGACAGCAGCATCCCTTAGCGGCGCCAGTCCCTGGCCCGGCTGCTCCACTTCCAACCCCACTCCATGTCCCTACGCCTGGGAAAACAGCAGGAGACACCCCAGGAGCGTCATGAAGCTGCCGGAGAGGCTCTGTGTTAGGTTTGGAACAGCTCCGGGGTTCTGGCCTTTCGTACCCCGAGAAAGGAGACGGCGCCGAGCTCAGCAGAGACAGGTTGCTTTATGGAAGCAGAGGTGGAGACCCAGGAAGCATTGAGAGTTTTTATCTGGTTGAGGGACTTTGCCACTCCGGGGGTGGGGACGAGGGCAGCTGGTGGGGGGAGTAGGGGGCTCTCTGAAGCCTCTGGGAACTTTCCTCATCTGTTTCGCAAGCTGCCCAGTTGCTTTGCAAGGAGTCTAGAAGGGTCTGGGTACCAAGGGTCTCAGCGAAAGGGAGAAAACGGGGCAGAGGAGGGAGGAGGAGGAGGAGAGGGTTAGGGAAGGGGCAACCTGCCCTCTATGGTCCCTTGCTGGCTGCAGAGTATACCAGAGCCACTTTAGCTGTGCCTGAGTTGCAGGAAGCAAACAGCCAAGCGCCTCCAGTGACAACTGCTGCTCCAGTTGGCCAGGGAATAAACCTATCGTCACCAGAAATTGCACAGACTTGCCTTGGGCTCTCAGCTACAGAGCCAGAGCCAGGGAGGCAGGGGAGGGGAGAGAAGCAAGTCCAGGAGCACCGGATGCAGAGACAATCGGGAGGGCAGGGGTGAAGGTTCAGGGGTCACAGGGAGGGTGGGGAGGGGAGGGCAGTGTGGAGGATCGCCAGGGACCCACGGCACCCCTGGCCCAGGGAGCGCTGAGCACACACTGGGCTCTCCCAGAATAAAGCCCCAGCGGGCACCAGGCCACTCGCGCTGCAGGCAGAGCCACCAAGGACATCCCAGCCGCGGAGCGCTGACCCTCGCTCTGTGGTTCGAGTTGCAGTCAGTCCCCAGGGCCTGTCCCCCACTGACCGCTGAGGGCTGAGAGGGCAGGGGTCCTGGTTTGCGGGCAGAGACCCCGACTGTGGCCCTCACCACCCGCGGGGTCTCCCCCAAGTCACAGAGCCTCCCAGAATTGACTTCCTGCCTGTGATGACCCAACTGTGCCTCCTGCCGCACGGGGAGGACCAGGCCACGGGGCTGAGCAAACATCCCGGATAGTTCTGCCGGTACGGGGCCCAGGGCCTGGACCTGCCGAGCCGGGCCTCACCCCTCTCACAGCTGGATCCCTCTCCCATCCCACTTCAAAGCCCGAGAGCAGCCTCACCGCACCCTGGAGCACTTTCCGGGCCCAGCAGGAGAATCAAAGTCACCTTTGACCTCCTCATCGCCACGCCCCCAGCCCCAGGGGAAGTCGGGGTGGGAGAGATGCTGGTACCCTAGTAGTCTGAGAAGAGACTGGAAAGCTTTCCATTGGCCCAGCGGGCTCTGGAGGCGGGACTCGTGGTGACATCTTCCTGCTGAGTGGCTTGGAAATGAGCAGGATGACAAGTTTGGGAAATTTTTATTTCTGATTGGCTGGGGGAACAGGAAGTGGGTGAACTGTGAACCAATCCAAGAGTCAGGTTGCAGAAGGGGCAGGCTCTGGTGGAAGGGGCGGGGTTACAATCTGATTGCCTCTCCCTTTGGCCACTAGTGACTCTGTCCTGGGAGTCTTGAGCTCTGTGAGGGGCTGTCCCACAGCCCAGCAACACACCCTGTCCAGCCGCAGTGGCGTGAATTGTGCGGTGCACTGACACTGCCGGAAATCAGAGACAGGAGAAATCCTCCGTGACAAGGCGAAGTGACCTGTCTGTTTCTTCCTGGCCAGCCTGGACCTAGCGTTCCTCCTCCTGGCTTCCATCCTGTGACCCACGCTGTGCCATGGGTGAGGGTTCCAGGACATGAATCCCCCGCCCCCATCACACGACCACGCCCAGTAGGATCAGCTCACCAGGTTATGGGGCTGGCGCCTGGGAGCTGACAACAGGGAATCCGGTGGGAGGGCCACACACCTGGGGGGAGGGGCGTGAGAGCTGGGGGCCCACAGGAGGCTCCTGGGCTGACCTCAGCAGGCTTCACCACTCGGTCAGGTCCACAGCACTTGACAGCCAGCAAGGGGCTGTGTCTGTCCCTGAGCTGCTCTGACCAGGGGGACTGCAGGTGCGGGTTCTCAGCTGTGGGTGGGGCAGGCAGCCCCTCAGGTGTTGAGAGCCTGGGCCACCCCATCATTAGAGCAGCAGTAGCGCCGCACCCACTGGGGCCCCAGGCCCACCCTTATCCACCTGAGCGAGGTGGGGACTCCCTGACTGAGGACAGAGCGCTTGGGGGTGGGCGATGAGTAAGCCAGCAGCTCCCGGGCTCTCCAGCCCCCAGGGCAGCCCTTGCCCTGCAGGCAGCCGCCAACACCGCCCACTCCAGGCCTCTGCGGATCCGCCCCGGGTTTCCTCCGCCCCCGGAGCCCTCTCTGGGCCCGCGCTGGGGCTTAGCCGAAGTCGGAACCGCTGGGCGCGGCAAGCGCTCCACGCCGGCATCAGAAGTCCGTGGCCGGAGCCGACGGCGCAGACCGGTTCCCACGCGTCGTCGCCACCGGGTTCTCGGGGCTCCCGAGTGACCACCCCCTGGGGCACCGTTCGCTGTCCGCGCTTCTCAGCTTCCTGGCCCTGGCGAGGTAGGGGACCCCGCTGCCCAGGGGTCGCGGGGCTGGAGCGCTCGGTCCCCGCCCCCTAAAAGGAGAAAACAGCTGCTTTCCCCTCGGCCACGCCTGACCCGGCGCCCAGACCCTGACTCCGCCTCGGGGGTCCAGCGGCCCTTCGCGTCATCCCCTCCACGCTTCGCCATTTCGCCACGCCCGGCCTCAGGGTCCGAGGCCCGGGGAACACGCGGCCAGCAGACCGCTGCCTACGGAATTTCCCTCCCACTGCTCCCGTTCAGCCCGCTCTCTGGGAAGGGAACGGAGGGAACCCTCCCCATCGCGCGCACGCATCATTGCGGCCCTCTGGGAATGGCTTCCCTGATCGTGGGCGTCTTGCTGCTCCCCCGCCTCCACCCCTCCCCCCAGGCCTGCCCCCAGCCCCACCTCGGTGGTCTCCCCTGTCTGTTTTTCAGGGGTTCTCCTCCAGCGTCTTCTCCGCCTTCCCTCTCCCCTCCCCGCAAGAGAAGGGGGTGTGGCACCGCTCGCTATTTAGGGCGCACTGGGGAGGGGCTGCGTGCTACAATTTTGGGGGCATCTCCTGGGCCGGGAATCGGGAGTCTGCATCGGCGCCTCCTCGCGCTTGCCCCCTCATCCCCTCCAGACGGGGCCGGCCCAGTTCTTTTCACCCAGGTCAGCTCCTGCTCTCCTCTGTGGGGCTTTGTGTAGCCGCCTCTTTGTCTCCGCATCTCCACTCTCTGCTCTTCTGTCTCCTTTCCCAGCCCTCAGATTACAAGCCCTAGGCTCCAGGCCACGAGTATTTCAGGTGTGGGGGTGCAGTAGGAGTTGGGGGGGGCACAGCAGGCTCCCAGGATACCCAGCGCTGACCCCCAGCTCCCCCTCCCCAGAGCCATCCTCCCTTTTCTGAGATGAAAGAAAGGAATGTGTAGGGGTAGGGAGGCTGCCCCTCTGGCTGGAGCTGGGGTCAGAGGAGCCTCTGCCTCTGCCTGCTCACCTGAGCGCATCTGTAGTGAGAGGGAGGGGCCAGCCTCCACCTTGCCTTGGCCTGGAGCCCCAGACCTGCCTAGGGCCCCATCTCACCTGCCCAGGGCTTAAGGAACCTGGAGCCTTTGTCTGTGTGCCCCATAGGGGATGGGTGGGAAGAAGTGCCAGGGGAGCAAAGATGGGGTGGGTGGGAGTCCTCCCCTCCTCCCTGTGGCCCTGGGAGCTCCCCACCCCCACCTCACCCCCAACCCTCACCACCAACCACCTGACCCCAGATGCAGGCTCCCTTTGGAAAGAGCCCCCACCCCTTGCCCCTTCCGGAGAGCAAGGGGGGGGGGGGGCTTGGGCTGAGGTCCTGAGGTGGTCAGGTGACTTCCGGTCTGCAGGTGGCTCTCTGTTTCCTCACTAGGGGCAGTGGAGTAAGTATTCCTGGGGTCACCAGGGAACCCAGTTTGTGTTTCCCAGCACCCAGGAACAGTGGCTCAGGTCTCCTGGGCATGCAGGGGGAACAGGGCATCCCAGGCCTGGCCCAAGGGTCCAGTGCTTGGGCTGTCCCAGGGGGCTTCATGTGGGTGGCACAGGGCTTGCTGGTGGGGTGAGCAAGGAGGGGCAGGGCTCTGGGCAATCTCCCCTCTGGTCTGTCTCCACTTCCCACGCCTGGGACCTTTCTCCTGGCGAGCACCCAGAGGTGGCTGTGCCACCCCTCAGGCTGGGTGTGCAGATCCACATCCACCAAAAAGTGGTCCCCACTGGCCCAGGAGCTGGGGAGGCTGCATTCAGCCTGGCTCTGCCTAAGCTGAGTCCCCTGGGCATGGTACTCACCCGCCTGGAACATCAGTCTAAAGTCAAGGGCTGGGATGAGCTAGAGGGAGTCTACCCCCCCCCCAAGCAAGAGCTTAATCTCTCCTCCCCTGTCTCCCTCCCTCCCTCCCTGCATGTTGCTGGCCTGATGCAGCTTCGCCTCACCTGGGCTTACCTGGGAGCACCTTAGGTGTTGGAATCAGAAAGAGGGAGGTGGCCTCTTGGCACAAAGCTGTTTCTGTAAGCAGTGTTTAGGTCATGGAAGCTAAAACCAACCCCCCAAACAGCTGTGGTGCCACTGCTGGATTCCTCTCCCAAGCATAGAGCTTGCTTTTGTAAAATAAATAAATACATAAACTCCAGCTCATGTCATCCCCTGCCTCGCAGGGCATGCTGGTTGATGAGGCTTAATGTAGACTGTGGGAGAATTGCACTATAGCTTTCTGGGGAGGGGGGATTTGATTGGTTGATTTGGTTCGTGTGGAGGAGTCAAGTCTGAAGCCAGGAATTGGGCAGGGGGGTGTCAGCTCCAAAGAGGGGGTTTTAGGGAATGGGAGGGGCAGGGTAAGTCCTGAGCAGGAGATGAACAAGGATTATAGAAGGTCCTCTCTCTCTCTCTCTCTCTCTCTCTCTCTCTCTCTCTGTCTCTCTCTGTCTCTGGGACTCCCTCTTTGGAAGGGATGCTATTGATGAGAGGGGCATGGGTGTTCTTGCTGAACTGTTGTTGGCAGCAGCCAGCAAGCAGAACCCTTTCCAGGCCCTGGAGCAGAGCCCAAGGCTGCCCCTGGGGAAGGGGAAATAAACTCATGCAGGAGGGAGCGCAGGGGCTTTGGCTGGCTCAGGAGGAATGACTTACAGTGGGGCTGTCCAAGGCCCACCCCTTCTGCCCATGCTTGCAGGGCAAAGCATCCCCCTACCTTTGCCCTGGGAAGGGCCAGGGCTGGGGCTATGGCAGGGTCCCTGGGGAGCCCTCTTGTAGGCAGGGTGGTGCCTGGTGGGGGGGCCCTGGGAGGTTTGCTCCATTTTTTGCACCCCTCCTCTCCATGTCCCCCAAGACCTCCCCTGCTTTGTCTGAGTTCCTGCTGTGACAAGGGAAGGAGCTGGGAGCCCCCCAGTCCTGAGCTCTGTGTAGGAAGGTGTTGTGGGGACGGTGCTTGGGGGGGGGTGTGTGGCTGTGGGAGTATTGAACCAGGCCTCTGATCCTGTGCTGTGTTCTCTCTTTAAAGATGTAGCTATCTAGATATTTACTTATTTATAAGGCAGAGTGACAGGAAGAGAGAGGGAGATCTTCCCCAAATGCCGGCAACAGCTGGGGCTGAGCCAGGTCGAAGCTGGGAGCCAGGAACACCATTCGAGTCTCCCATTTGAGTGGCAGGGACTCCAGGTACCTGAACCATCACCTGCTGCCTCCCAGGGTGCACGTTAGCAGGATTGGGGGAGGAGCGGCCAGGACTGAACCAGGCACACTGGTGTGGGATGTTCCAGACAGCAGAACCATGAAACTGGAAGCCGGATGCAGTGGAACTCCTGAAGAGGTCCCGCAACCCCAAGTGGGGACTGTGCCAGATGCAGAGCCGAGCTCCGCGACCCAGAACCGAATCATGGCTAGAGGCTGGAGCTAGGCCAAGCTCTTGGGGGCTGGTGGAAGGCCTTAGAAGGCAGAGCTGAGCTGTTGGACTTCGTGGGAGCCACGGAACTGGAATTTGAGGAGGTGCCAGCTGTCTCAGGGCACATTCACAGCAGTAGCATCGACTGCCTTCCCTACACACACACACACACACACACACACACCCCGCCTCACCCCAGCTGCATGTGGGACCCCAGGCTCATGGAGGAGTGGTGATAGCCAGGACCCAGTGCACAGCCAAGAAGCAGCGTCCCAGGGCGCGGGTCTCAGGGCAGAGAGGGACCTGGACTCTTCTGGAGTTTGCTTTGGGACCCAGTTGTGGGGCGCATGCGGATACAGTTGAGGGGTAGGCACGGAGAGCATTTGAGGATCCACCTGGGGAGTGTCTGGGGGGCAGAAGCACCAAAATAGGGGAGCAGGGGATAGACCAGGGGTAGGAGCAGCCAGGACCCATGAAAGGGTGGAGCTCGCATGCCAACAGAGCCCTGGACAGCTGGAGCAGGCCAAGCGCAGACCAGGGCAGGGAGACAAGCTCAGTGGAGGCGGGGCAAGGTAAGGAGCCAGGGGGTGTGGTGAACCCTGGGGGCGGGGCCAATGAAAGGGGCGTGGTGAACCCTCCAGGACCTGGAGTAGGCGGAGGTGGAAGGACCCCCCGCGCGTGCCTGGCCTGTGTCTGGCCTGGAGCCTGGGCGGTGATGATGGCGTGCTTTGCGTCTGGGCAGAGGCGAGCCCCGTCTGCCTTGGTCTGCAGACTGTCCTGAAGCTGGTGACCCGGAGCGACCTGGGGAAAGAGCGCTGGTAAAGAGATAACGCATGGCGTGACCCTGCTGCTGCAGCACTTGGGCTCGCAGTGGATCCAGCGAGGGACCCCGGGATCAAAGGGATGCGGCTTCCCCGAGAGGACCAGCGGAGCCCCCGCGAGCTGGATATTGATCCCCTCATCACCAGGCAAGTGAGTCGGATGAGGGAGCGCCAAGGCCAGGCCCCTCTGTGCCGGGACACCCGGGCGTCCCTGAGGGCTCTAACGCTTCAGAACCCGCTTGCTCTTGCTTGGGGCCCTGCCCAGGGGAGCGACCCCTGAGCCTTGCTTAGGGGCTCCCGCTCCTTACCCAGACCCAAACTCCTGATTCCCTGCCTCAAACTTTCAGTCCCAGCCTCCCGACTCCTGGGACCCTTCCCCCTGTCACGGATCCTGCCCTCTTTGGGGGCCCAGACACCCTAATCTGAGCTGCTGACCTCCTCCTCCCCCTCTCTCATGGCCCTCGAAGACCCTCTGGGGCCCCCTGGCCACTGCACGCGTACAACAGGGGTTCCCGTACTCAGCGCCCTTACCCCTGGGCACTGACTGCCACCCCCGGGGCCCAGCAGGGAGCCGGTGGGAGTGAAGATGCGGGAGCAGCGCCAGGATGCCCGGACCCGCCCGCTGCGTGCTCGCTCGCGCCCCCTGGGGGCATCTCTCGGCTCCCATTCCGCCCCTGCGGCGTTCCTGGCGGGGCTGGGTGCGCGGCTGACAGCGCTGCAGACCTCTGGTGCGTTCTCGCCACCGACCACGGAGGCCGTGTCCGAGGCAGGCCTCTTGCAAAGAGACATGCTCCGAGCGGGACCATCAGTCAGGACTGCCGGCCCTACTGGCAGGAGGACAGGAGCCTGCACCTGCTGGCGGCAAAACCGGGAGGGGCGCGTGGACAATGCTCACTCTGGGCACACACCCCTCCTCCTTCCTGCAGGAGGGCGATTGCCCGTGCCGATATCTCAGCCTTGCCTCCTTGGCTCCGGGGGCGACGGCTCGCAGGTGCATAGCCAGCTGCTGTGGCACCTGCGGGCGCTAGGCCCCGCCTCGCCAGCTTCAACACCACGTCCCCGCGCTTTCCTGGTGCTGGTCCCATAATCAACCATGGCTGACTTCTGCCAAGCAGGCCAGGAGTGCCAGCCGAATCAGATCTGCTGCAGGCCGGCCTCTGAGGACCTCCTCTGGGAGGGGGGAGAAGCTGCTCTCTAGACCCGCCCCCTCCCGCGGAGCCCCAGCCAGCCCTGCCCCCTCGCAGGTGGCCCGGATGCCTGCCTTTACCCGGTGCCTATCCCCAGCCTTCCCCTCTCTCCTTACCCCGCTCTGCCTTCTGGCCTCAAGCACTTCCAAACGCCGGTGTCCATACCCTGGCTGGAGCCGCTGGACTCGGGGGAGCCCCTTGTGCTGTTATCCACCCTCCCCTTCCCTGCCCCTTAGCCAGCGGGGGCTTCTCCCTTCTAAGCCTTGGTGAGCAGAAGCTGGCAGAGGAGTGTGATGTCAGGCCCAGGCCTGGCGACTTCTGTGCCTCCCAGCTCAACACTGGCCTCCTCGCCACCCCCTCAGTCTCCCAGCCTCCCGATCCAAGTGCTCCCCTGGCTTTCTGTCCCTCCCATCCTCCTGCTCTGGGGACCCCTCAACAGTCTTCAGAGCCTTTTTTTTTTTTTTCCTCTCTACTCCCCTTGCCTGTGAGGTCCTCATCATTGGCCCAGGGTACAATATGGAGAAAGACCATGAAAGGGAATATATTTGTGATGCTCCCCCCGTGTGTGCCTCTGGTGATGCACTCTTTGGAGCCTGCCTCTCTCACTAGGGTTTCCTCCAGCTTGGCTCAGTGCTGCTGTAACTCAGGTTGCTGCCCCCTGCCCCTCCCCCCACCATCCCCTAACTCACCCGGGTGCTCTGGCTGGAGAATCTGGTACAGTTCAGGGTAGCTTCCCTTGCCTGGCACAAGGGCTGTCTCCTGGTTCCAACCAGGCTGCCTTCTATGCCACTGGAACTCCCACTGCCAGTATTTTTGGACACAGCTCCCTTCCTCTGGATCATTTATGCTTTTTGGACTTTGAAAGTCATCTATTTAAATGCAAGTAGTAACAGCTGCATTTGTGATGCTCTGGGTCCTATACTGGATCCGATCCACCAGAGGGAGGAAGCACAAAGAACCTGGTGATTTCCACTTCTAAGTAATCCACCCGAGCCGGGAGCCTCATGAGGACTAGAACCCAGGTAGCCCAAGGCCAGAGCGCATCCCAGAACCTCACTCTGTGTGTGATGGTGGTAGGAGGTGGGCAAAGGGGGCAGCTTTCTCAGCTGGCTGCTCTGTCTCCTGCCCCCCAGCTGGCCCACCATCCTGTTATTTGGACCATGGCTCTATGACAATAAAACGGACCTTCTGCCCACGCTCTGTGTCTGTCTCACCTCTTCTCGGTGGGGAGGGATGAGACATGCCCCCCCTTCCCCAGCAGCCTGTATCAGAGAGGATCTCTAAGCCCGGTGGCAATGGGGCTAATGACTTGCTGGGGGTGGGGGGTAGGGCGAGCGGCTGGCCGTTGTGCGCCCCCACCCCCACCCACAGCCCTGACAAACAGCGGCAGCTCGGAGCCCAGGAGGGCAGCAGCGCAGCAACTGAACCCGGGGCCTCGCTCCCCGCTCCCCGCCCCCCGACCTGCCACCCAAATTCTGAGTGTCTCCCAAGTTCACCCCCGCACCCCGGACCAGCCTCCCTGAGCCCCAGGATCCAGGCGTGCAGCTCTCAGCTCGGGGACCACGGTGCTTGCTGGTGGGCGACGCGCGGTTTGGAGGGGGGTAGCGGGGAGGAGGTAGAAGGAGCCTGGGCGCCGCCCCCCGGGAGCCGAGCTGGGAGCGGCGAAGGCTGCGATCCCGAAAAGTAACACGCGGGGGCGCCAGGACGTGTGCGGACGCAGGCGAGGCAGCGCAAGGTGGTTTTGGTCCGCGTGAGTGTGTCCACGGGCGTCTTTGTGTGTTTGCGTTTTTGTACATGTATGTGCGAGTCAGGGGGGTCGGAACAGCGTGTTTGGGGTACCCCGGAAACATCTACCCCAAGTGGCCTTCGGATGATGGTTGATTGTGTGCCTGGATGGGAGGTGGGCAAGTGATATGTACCCTGGTGGGTGCACGGTGCAGGCTCTGAGTCGCCGAAACCCCATGGTGGCAACTCGGAGGGGGGGGTTGGCCCCTTTCTTCCACTCCTTGTAAAGGGAACGAGAGCCCTCAGTGCCGAGCTCCACTGCCCTGGACACATCTGGGGGTGGGTGCCTCTGCCGAGCTGCGTGTGCCGCCACTATGCTTGTGTTGGTGGGTGTGTCTCAGTCCCGGGGTAACTCTGAGTGGCAGGTGCATGTGGCAGGTTGATGGAGGGGTCACTCTTGTGGAAGTACAGTTTCCTTCTTCCTGTTAGTTTGTGGGTAGCACCTTCATGGGACGTGTGTGTTCTTGCTCCATCTCTCCAGGAGCTGTCTCTCTCTTTGTGTCTCTCTCCATCTTTGTCTCTCTCTCCCTCTCTTGGTGACTCATCTCTGCGGTGATGCCCTCCCCCGGCTGGCTAGGTGTCCCTTCCCCCACTCAGGAGTGGGTGGGGGCCTGAGGGAATGGGACCCTGGGACAGAAAATCAGGGTGGGCACCCCAACTTGTCATTGCAGACCCTCCAGTGGCCCCCAGCCTCTCCTCAGTCCCCTTCCCAGAATTCCCCCCTCCCTGGGAGTGGGCAGGGGGTAGCATAATCATGTGTGTTCAGTGGGGCAATTTTCAGGGGGCCTCAGCACCTGCTTTCAGTTCAAAGTGGAGACCCCCAACCCCCTCAGAAAGTTCCCCCTCCCTGCCTGTCCCCCCCCAAGGCTGACGCAATGAAAGGCTGCAGAGGTGAGTCACCGGTTGGGGAGGGGAGGGGAAGAGGGGGACCGTGAGCTGCGGAAGCCCTGAGCCCCTGCCTCTTCCTCTCCCAGACCTTCTCAGGGAAAAGACCCAGTGCTCCGCCCCCTCCCCTCATTTTCCAAATCTTCAGCTTGGATCACTACTCTTGGGGACCCCGTCTTCTCGTGCTACCCTCCTGGAGGGTATGAGATAATCAGAAACAAAGACAAAGAGAGATGGAGTCACACAAGCAATTCAGAGCTAATACCAGGCATCCCCCCGGTCTCCATTTCAGTTCTCCCTTTTGCAGCATTCTCTCCATTCCTCTCTCTTCCCTGCCACCTCCCTCCTGTCTGATTCCAGGCACCTGTCGCATGTCTAGCTTTGTCCAGAAGCCCCAAGAGGCAGCAGGGTATAAAGGGCAGGGCTCATACTGAGAAAGGTGTGTGCACTGACCCAGGTAGGGAACTGGATGGAGAGAGGCAGAAACAGCCCAGAGCCCACACAGACAAGAGAGATGGAGACCCAGGTGGTGGAATCACCAAGCCTATTGTCTGTGGTGCCCCAGGTTTCCACCTTGCTCCCCCCTCCATCCCGGGAGGACAGCGGTTGGGGTGTTAGGGGGCAATGCCCTGAAAGCTAGGGGCAAGGACCAGCTGGTGGGGGCTGCAGGATGAGTAGCTGAGATTCCGAGGCTCTATTGCAAAGAGACCCAGACATGGAGGTGGGAAGGGGGGAGGGGCACATATATGTACCAGTAGGCATGGAAGGACTCAGAGACACACACAGGCATACACGTGTACACACACACATTATGTGTCACCAACCCAGGCAGAAACCAGTAGGTGCCCACTCAGAGACCGGAAGCTGCACAGGCATTCGGAAGAGATCAGAGCCCCCACACGGGCACCTGGAAACAGGCAAACATTTAGCCACACAAACTGGGCGAGAAGACCACTTATTTAATTTGGAAATCCTACCATGCCCACCCACTCCTGATCTGATTAAATACACAGCTAGCCCTCCCATTTCCTCCCTCCCTCTGCCATGTGTCTCATTCATCTTTGTATACAAGCACACATGCACACGCATGTACACACACACACACAGGTACCTGTGCACACACAAGCCACGATTTCTCTAGAGTACCCGCCTCCCCTCATCTCTCTCTTGGTCTCTTGTCCCCATCAGCCGCTCAGTCAGCCCCCCCCCCCGCCCCGCTCCCTCCCTCTCCCCCTTCCTTCTCCCTCGGATGACTTCCCCTCCCCCACTCCAGATGTCTGAGCCATCTCCCTCTGATTCATCCTCCTCCGAAAGGTAACGTGACCCCCTCCCCAACCCACTGCTCTCTGTAACCAGGCAGGGAAGATGGAGGGGAGGTGGGAAGAGGGATAGGGGTCCAAAGGGGCACGGGAGATCTTGGATAACTGTCGGGAGGGGTAAGGCACTGCCTTGGGGTCTCCTGCCCCTTCTCCTGCCTCGTTTCTTTGGAATCGCCACAGTCACCTTGGTTCTCAATGGTTTTTTTCTCTCTCTCTCCTTTAGCCTACTCCTTCTACCTGTTCCAGGTTCCTTCTTCCTTCCTTCCCCTGCCCCCAATCCCCTTTCTCTTTCCTCTCCACTCCTCCCCACCTCTTTCCCTGCAGAGCTGATGGGCTTTCTTCTGGGAAAGTCAAGCCATTGATGGAAGCGAGAAGCCACTGCTGGCTCTGGAGGGAAAGCACGTGAGTGTGTGTGTCTCAGAGAGAGAGAGAGAGAGAGAGAGAGAGAAGGGGGCTGACAATGGGGGTCAGTTCTTGGATGAGCTGAGGAGGGGGCGAGGACCGGCAGGGAAGGAATCTCAGAGCCCCCGACAAACAGCCCTGATCCTGGCGTCCAGCGTCTCAGGGGCGGGTGTCCTGCATGTGCCCATGAGCACCCTGTGTCCGCAGTTCTTGTGTGTCTGGTGTGTGTCATTGTCACTCCCCCCTTTCCCTGCCCACGCCCCCGCACTGCTCTCTGCCTGCACCGCAGCCCCCTCCAGCCTCCCTCCCCTTCATTCCTGCAGTGGCTGCTCCTTGCCACACTCCCCTCTCTCCCACCCCCTCCCCATTTCCGTCCCCCCCACCCCCGCCCACGGCTGGCCTCCCTTCACCGGACTCGGCTGGCTGATGGATTTTCTTTGCGCAATCTGTGCGTCATCGCCCCCACCCCCGGAACCTCTAGCTGTCCAAGCCCCCAGCCCCAACCTCTCTGGCAGGAGACACGGTCGAAGGGGTCTGGTGGCAAAGAGGGGCTATTTCTGACGTTGCACACTCCCCACACCATCTCGTTCCAATCTTCCCTTTGAGCGATGGAGGGAGCTGGGGTTGAGTCACCTCCCCCCCCCACCACCACCTGCACAACCCCCTCCCCACCTGGTCTGGTCTCGCCCTCCAAACGTCCTTTGAGGGGGGGAGCGGAGGGGAGGAAAGAAGCTGGAGGGGCAGGGGAAGATGTGGGAAGAAAAGGGGCACAGCCGGGACCCCGACACACGCGCCAGAGCCAGCGGACAGAAGGAGAGACACACCTTATTCTCCAGACACGCACCGGTCGTGAACAGACACGACACGACCCAGGGGTACAACACGTTCTCCATCTGTCCCCCTTCTCTTCCGACTCCGACCCTCTGCGATGGGATTGACCAAACTGCAAGGTCCACCCATCCGCCCCGGCCCAGGGCCCGCACCCCGCACCGCAGCTCCGCGGACAGCGCCCGCAGGCGCGCACAGTCGCGCCTCCTCTCCCAGGTTCACGCTGTCCTTGGGCGTGTTCCCCGTGGACGGCGCGAGCGCGGACTGCGCGCCCGGCCTCCTCCCCGGCATTCGCATCCTTATCCCCCCGCCCCAGTCTCGATCTCCTACTGGTGCCCAGTCAGACGCTGAGGGTGCCCCTTTTCCGTTCGGCTCAACGACGCGGAGTCGCGCGTCTGCAAGTGGCTGTGCGACCACCCTCCCGCCTCCCCGCGCCTCTCCAGCCACCCTCCATTCATATCTCATTCATTCATTCATCCTTTTCTCCTCGTCCCTCCTTCATTCATTCATAGCCCCCCGCCCCGCCCGCCTCGGCATTTCATTCATTCATTCATTCATTCATTCGTTTCCCGGAGCTCCGGCTGGCGCACGCCCCTCCAAGCCGAGGGCCCCCAGAGCGCAGGCGCAGGCCGGGAGCGGCGCGCACCCTCCAATCGCCGGGCGTCCTCCAGGCTCCAGACGCCCGCCCGCTTCCCCATGAATGAACATTGACGTCAATGGGGCGGGGCGCGCCCACGTGACCCCGCGCGCTCCCCTTTATAAGGCGGCGGAGGCGCGGGCGCTGTCCAGCGTGCTGAAGCCCGAGCGAGCAAGCTGCCCGGAGCCGCGCCAACTCTTCGGAGCCCTGCCCTCGGGACGCCAGCCCTCGACCGTCGCTCGCACCCCAGCCAGCGCTCGGAGCCCAGGCGGACGCGGCCTGATCCTCCCCTGTCCCCACCCCGCCCCAACCCTCTTCACCTCCCGCGTCGTGACACCAGCTGGTAAATACTGCGCCGTCCTTTCCGCAAGCCTCAGCAGCCGTGGGCGTTGAGAGGAGTCTCCTCCGTACGGGGGTGTCGCGAGCCTAGCGGGGAGCCCCTTGGAAAGGGTCCCCAGTGCGAGGGGGAGTCGCAGGCTTTCTCTTGCTGCCGAAGTCGCCCACGCGCCATCCGGGGAGTCCTGTGGGGAGGGAGCAGAGAATCCCCCCCCCAATCCTCGCTGCTTAGTACGTGGGCGCTGGCAGTGAGATCGCTCAGGAAAGGGGGTGAGCTAGGGTTGCGGGCGTCCTCTTCCCATTCGCACGACTCCAGAAACCGGCTCAGCAGCTTCCTCCTTTGCTCCTATACGTTCCTCTTCTGGGTAAGGTTAGGGGGAGATCAGGGAAACCCGGGATTTCCTGCTTAAAGGTGGGGGGAGGGAAGCGCAAATTAGCCGGGAACCCTTACATAAATCTCGTTCTCTGGTCCCTTCTGTTTTTCAGTTTCCGGCAGCCCCACGGTCATGACACCCATCAGGCTGCCGGCGTCCGCCCTCCTCTGCTTCTTTCTACTCATCAAGGGGTTAGGAGCAGCGCCTCCCGGGCGCCCTGAAGCGCAGCCGCCTCCCTTCAGCTCTGAGCATAAAGAGCCGGTAGCTGGGGACGCAGTGCCGGAGCCAAAGGATGGCAGCGTCCCGGAGGTCCGAGCCGCTCGCAATTCCGAGCCGCAGGACGAGGGAGAGCTTTTCCAGGGCGTGGATCCCCGGGCGCTGGCCGCGGTGCTGCTGCAGGCGCTCGACCGCCCCGCCTCGCCCCCGGCGCCAGGCGGTTCCCAGCAGGGGCCGGCGGACGAAGCGGCAGAAGCTCTGCTGACAGAGACCGTGCGCAGCCAGACCCACAGCCTCCCGGCGCCAGAGCCCCAGGCGCCCGCGACGCCGCCTCATCCTCAGACTCAGGAGAGCGGTCCCGAGGCGGGAGACCCCTCCGAGGAGTTGGAGGCGCTAGCGGCCCTGCTCCAGGAACTGCGAGATTTCAGCCCGAGTAGCGCCAAGCGCCAGCAAGAGACCGCGGCAGCAGAGACGGAAACCCGCACGCACACGCTGACCCGCGTCAATCTGGAGAGCCCCGGGCCTGAGCGCGTGTGGCGCGCCTCCTGGGGAGAGTTCCAGGCGCGCGTCCCGGAGCGCGCGCCCCTGCCACCCCCCGTCCCCTCGCAGTTCCAGGCGCGCGTGCCCGAGAGCGGGCCTCTTCCCGAAACCCACCAGTTCGGGGAAGGAGTGCCTCCCCCCCAAACACACCTAGGCGAGGCCCTGGCACCCCTAGCCAAGGCGTACCAAGGACTGGGCTCCCCTTTTCCCAAGGCGCACCGGCCGGAGGGCTCCCTTCTGAGCCGCTCCGAGGCGGGGGAGCGCCTCCTACAGCAAGGGCTGGCGCAGGTGGAGGCCGGGCGGCGGCAGGCGGAGGCCACGCGGCAGGCGGCGGCGCAGGAGGAGCGGCTGGCCGACCTGGCCTCTGACCTGCTGCTCCAGTATTTGCTGCAGGGCGGGGCCCGGCAGCGCGGCCTGGGGAGTCGGGGGCTGCAGGAGACGCAGGAGGAGCGAGAGAGCGAGAGGGAGGAGGCGGAGGCGGAGCAGGAGCGACGCGGCGGGGAGGAGAGGGTGGGGGAAGAAGACGAGGAGGCGGCGGAGGCGGAGGCGGAGGCGGAGGAGGCGGAGAGGGCGCGGCAGAACGCGCTCCTGTTCGCCGAGGAGGAGGAGGACGGGGAAGCCGGAGCGGAGGACAAGCGCTCCCAGGAGGAGACGCCGGGCCACCGGCGCAAGGAGGCCGAGGGGGCCGAGGAGGGCGGGGAGGAGGAGGACGACGACGAGGAGATGGACCCGCAGACGATCGACAGCCTCATCGAGCTGTCCACCAAACTGCACCTGCCGGCCGACGACGTGGTCAGCATCATCGAGGAGGTGGAGGAGAAGCGGAAGCGGAAGAAGAACGCCCCTCCCGAGCCCGTGCCGGGTCCCCGGGTCGCCGCCGCCGCCGCCGCCGCCGCCGCCGCCGCGCCCGCGCGCTCCCCGCAGCCCCCGCCCCCCGCCCCCGCCCCCGCTCGAGACGAGCTGCCGGACTGGAACGAGGTGCTCCCGCCCTGGGATCGGGAGGAGGACGAGGTGTTCCCCCCCGGGCCCTACCACCCCTTCCCCAACTACATCCGGCCGCGGACGCTGCAGCCGCCCCGCCGCCGCCACTACCACCATGCCCTGCCGCCCTCGCGGCACTCCGCGGGCCTGGAGGCCCAGGCGCGGCGCGCGCAAGGGGCGGCGGAGGCCGAGGAGCGCCGGCTGCAGGAGCAGGAAGAGCTGGAGAATTACATCGAGCACGTGCTGCTCCGGCGCCCGTGACCCGCCCCGCCCCGCCCCCCTCCGTGTCGCCCGCCCCCGGGGTTTGCATGCGCCCCGCCCCGCCCCGTCCCGCGCCGGGACCTGGCGGGCCTGGCCTCCGCCTGGGTCCCAGGCCCCACCTCCCCGAACTCGCTCGCGGGTGATCCGGGGCCAGCCCCGTTGGGCAGGTGATGTGTGCGGGTCCCTGCCCCCGCGCGGGACCCCGTTTCGGGATGCCCCCATCCGAAATCGGAAAAAGCGGTTCCAGTTAATTGTGTGAGAAAAAAAGTGTCTTGTCTCCTGCCCATCGGGCCTCCCGGAGCCCACCTCCTCAACCCTCTCCTCTCCCCTCTCTGTTGTAAATACCCCTCACGGAGGAAATAGTTTTGCTAAGAAATAAAAGTGACTATTTTATTAGGACTTTGTTTTCCGTTATTCACCCGTCCCCTTGGGCCTGCGTGGTCCTTTCCAAGGGGCGGTGAGGGACGCGCCAGCCACAAGGCCCGGATTCTAAGGAGGGCTGTGTGAAGGTAGAACATGGCGCAGGAAACCCTACACTCCACTTGCAGGTTGGGGGTGGTGGTGAAGTCCCAGGCTCGGGTAGGGAGATGCGGAGTGGACCCAAGCTTCTGGAATAACCTAGCACCTTCTAGTTAAAAGCAGTGGGTGCTTAGGAGATGCTGCTGGGTGGCTCCCCCAGCCCCTGTTCCAGCTCCCTGAGTCACTGCCGGGATTCCTTGGTCCCTAGGGATCTCACAGGACTGGAGGGAGCAGGCGACAGCAGTCACAGTGACACCTGGCTTTAGCCACCAGGCCCTTTTCTAAGCAGAAGGGAGTTCCCAATTCTCTCCGGAAATAAAATTAAACCCCAGGAATAAAATCTTAAGAGGCAGGGACCCACGTCCCCTGGGTGCCTGAGCAGCGTGGGGGTCGGCGGCCTTGAGTGTGCAGGTAGGTGTCAGGTAAGACTCAAGACATAGAGTTAAATCTGCATTTCAGATGAACAACGGATACTTGGTTAGCCTGCGCGTGTCCTGAACACTGCGTGGGACACACTTGTAAAAAATTCTCCTTGGTTTGAAACTCAGCTGTAACCTGACGGCCTCCATCCTTTTTTCTTCTCTGTGTGGCAACCCCAACTCCAGGGACGGGTTAAGGCCAGAGTTCCCTGCACTCACGCACCCTCACCCCCACCCCCTGCCTCCCTCACAGAGCAGGCCCAAGGCAGACAAAGTCCACAAATGTTTTTCCTTTTATTTCAGAAGAAATGGAAGAAAGGCAGGTGCTCCCTGCTCCTCCCCGGCTCCTGCCTCCCCCAGAACAGGGCAGTGCAGGAGGGACAGGGCCCGTGGCCCAGACGGCCCGTCCTCTCCCCACCCTTGCTTCCCTCAAAGTGGCAAGGCTAGAAAAAAATTAACTTTGTTCTTCCTCCACTGGCACTGGACGGAGGCCCCAGTACCGCCGGGGAGGAAGCAGGGGGCAAGTGAGGGAAAAGGCCCCCCCCTCCCAGGCAGAGAAACTGCCCTAGCTGGCTAGGGGGAGGGGTGGAGGTAGGTTGTGGGGCACAGGGGGAGCCGAGAGCCCTGAAAACCTTTTCCCTGGAACCTGGCGTGTTTATATATTTACAGTAGGGGAGGATGGGGGGAGGAAGTCCGGGGCAGGCGTGAGGAGCTACACAGCACCCCTGTCTTGGTCAGGCAGCCCTGTCCCCTCGCTCCTGAAGCCTTGGGTGGAGGGAGAGGAAGCGGGAGGCCAGGGGTGGTGAGAGGGAATGTTGAAGGGCCCACCCACGGCGTGGACAGCAGGGAGGCGGGGGAGAGGCAGCCGGTGCGTGCTCCTCCCCTACCCCCGTAGCCCCTCTGGGTGAGGCGGGGGAGAGGCAGCCAGTGTGAGCTCCTCCCCCACCCCCGTGGCCCCGTCTCCAGGGCCAGGCTGGGGCTATGCCAGGCCCATCTCCTCCAGCACGCTGCGCGGCGACTCGTCCTCCTGAGACAGACAAGGTGGGTAAGGCAGCCGCAGTCAGGAGCCCGGATCCGAGTGGGGGAGGCACAGCGATGCAGGGGTGGGGACGGGGAGAAGAACCAAGATGAGCTTGGCCCAGAACAGCCCGGGGGCCTCCCAGGACCACCTGCGGCCCTGCCAGGGCGCGAGGGAGACTTGAGTCCACCTCCACCTGGAGAATCCAGAGCTGGGAGCCGGGTGGGCAGGGGGCGTGGCCTCAACATCAGAGGGGCTGGAGGAAAGGACCCCTGCTTGGGGCGGGGGGGCTGCAGAGGGTTGGGAAGAGGCGGCAGAGGCCGGGCCCAGGTCCCTGGGGGAAGGTGAAGCAGATGAGTCACCAGGGTCGGAGCAGGGCCCCATGGTGGGTGTGAGGGTGAGCGAGTGTGTGCTGCCAGGTTCAAGTTCTGCTCTTCCCCCCCACCCCCACCGCTCCCCCTCCTCAGAGCCAGCTCAGGCCTTGCTTGTCACTGCGGATTCCGGTGACTCATCCCCTGCACCAAGGCTCAGCAGTGGCCCAGCAGAGAGGGGGCAGGCAGTAATGGGCTGAGGGCGGGGGCGCCGGCCAGCGGGGAGAACCAACATCCAGGCACCCTTCTCAGTAGCCCCCAAGGGCCCACGGCCCTTGGCTCCCCGGAAGCAGTGTCTCTGGGGCGTGTGTGTGTTTGAAATCAGGAAGAGGAAAGACTGATCCACCATGTGCCCTTTCAACTCTGAGGACAAGTGTGGGGCAAAGGCCTTTGGGCTGGGACCAGACACCCTGGGGCTTGGGGGGACAGAGCCCACCACGGGGCAGGGGGTGGGCACAGGTAGGCAGTTGGCCAGGCCTCCTCCCAGGGGTCAGGGCTGCAGGCCAAGCTGGTTCACTGGGCATGGCGGAAGCCAGACACTACAGGGTGGTGGTGGGCAGGAGCCAAGGGAGGGCGGGCCCCTCCGCCGTGGGACTGTCCCTCCGCCTCACCCGTACCTCCTGCAGCAGGTCAGCCTGCTCAATAGCCTTCAGCACGCTCTTCTTTGAAGTGTCCTGGACATCTCCTCCCATCAGAAACTCGTCCAAGATGAAGTAGGCTTTCTCGAAGTTGAAGATGATGTCCAGTTCGCACACCTGGGAATGGGGCCGAGGTCGGGCTGAGCGGGACGGGCTGGCACCACCTGCCCGGCACCCCAGACGCAGACACCACCCCCAGACCCTCCTCCAGGAAAACAGGTGCGAGGGAGGCAAGTTCAGGGTTGCTTCCTTCAAGGATTAACTCATCTTTGGGGGCGCAAGACACTCGGCAGGTGACACCAGGCCTCGGTCCAACCCTGCAGGTATAATTCTCCCCCCAGAGATTTTGGATCTCAGTAAGGGATCTGCCCTCCTCACACTGATGAGGAAGGGGGCATGCACCCCACATCTGGTAACCCCCGTGATGGTTCACACGGGAGCCAGGTCCTTTCCACTTCCCCACCACTTGTGAACCCCAAGTCTCTTTTCTTAGCAAGGAGACTTGTTCTACACTGACGTGACTATGTGTCCCTCCGGAGTGAAGCTGGTATTTTCTGGAATGTTGACCGTCTGGTCCCCAAGCCTGGTCCCCATTCTCGCAGTAGATACACCCCACCCCCACCCCCAGGTTTCTCACGGCCACTCTCCCCAGCCTGGGTTTTTCCAGGTCTCACGGGCTCCTAACTCCCAGGCCTTATACTCGCTTTGGCTTTTTCTTCCCCTCCCCTTGCCTCTTCCTGCCCGGTCATGAAACATTTGTCCTCATCTACGCCTGGCTGCGGTTCCTGCTGCCCTTCTGGCAAAATCCGTCACACTGTTCCCACCAGAGGCTGGGCCAGCCTCCCTCCCCAGGCACGGCGTGGCGGGCCAGGAGCAGACTGTGGACCATGGGGTAGAAGACGCACATTGCAGCCGGGCAGAGCTGCAGCAGCTGGACGTCTCAGCTGAAAACAGGGAGCCCAACACCTACGTAGGGGACAGGCTGGGGAGCAGGCGGGAGAGCTTGAAAAGCACTTTGTAAATGGTGAGATGGGACACAGATGGCGGGGTCATTGCTACTCCCCATCAAAGATCTGAGCTGCCTGCCAATGCCCAGGCTAACCCTCCCCCCCGAACCTCTGGGGGCTGGGATGGGGGCACTGCTATTTTTAAAACCTCTTCCGTGCAAAGCCAAGGACGAGATCCGCTGATAAAATCGGAACCTGGTCGCCGTCCTTGGGTGAGAAGTCCGAGCGAGCAGCGCCATCCGTGACCGAGCGCCAGATCCGCAACCCCCTCTCTCCCCCCACTCCTGGCTTGAGGGCTGATTAAGGGACGGCTAATAGGCTTACAGCTTAAAAAGGGGGATTAATTACCGCTCTTACTGCTTCCAGCTTGACCTCTGCCCTGAGACTTCTGGGGCAGAGACTAGGAGGGCCTCAAGGGAGAGCAGAAAGAGGGGACCACTGGGCATGGAAGCTGGCATTGGTGGGCCAGGGGGAGACTTACGCTGCCGAAGTATTTGTCCAGGAGCTCCACGTACCGGTGGATCAGCTCCAGCGTGATGAGCTCATTGTCTTGGCCCTCGATGGCGCAGCAGAAGTAGAGGCTGGCGTATCTGAGGGAGGGCACAGCAGGCTTGGCTGGCAGCTGGCTTCAGCACCCACGCATCCGGGGCGACCAGCCCAGGGTCTCTGCTCTGGCTGACCACGGGGCTGGAGACCCCAGGGCAAAGGGTAACTAAGGGCTTCTCAGTAACCAGCAAAGACACGTGCTCGTTTCCTTCTTGCCCTCTGACCCGCTCAGACTGACTCAGCAAAAACCTGAGCCAACTAATTACCTGCTCTGAGGAGGAGGAGGAGGAGGAAGGGGAAGAGGAGGAGGAGGCAGAAATCGTGTGTGAGCGCGTGCACACTGCACAGCGTGAGGCAGGGCCTCTGGGACTAGAAGCCAGGTGCGTTCCAGAAAGGTGGGGTCTACAGCAAGCGACAGAGGGATGGGCATGGGGCAGGTGTCTGGCTTGAGCAAAACCATGTAGAGGGGCCGGCGCCGCGGCTCACTAGGCTAATCCTCCGCCTTGCGGCGCCGGCACACCGGGTTCTAGTCTAGGTCGGGGAGCCGGATTCTGTCCTGGTTGCCCCTCTTCCAGGCCAGCTCTCTGCTGTGGCCAGGGAGTGCAGTGGAGGATGGCCCAAGTGCTTGGGCCCATGCGTCATTGTCACCCACAGGTCCTTAGCTCCCAGCCTTCCCTCACCACTTATGTCTCAGCATCTGAGCCCAGCAGAACCCAGGTATGGCCGGCTGCAGGTGCAGGTGCAGGTGCGTGTGCGTGTGTGTGGGAGGGGTCACCTCTTGTAGACGACTTTGAGGTCTCGCCACTCCAGGAAGCTGCACATCTTGGGCTTGCGGGCCAGAACCACCTGCATGAGCTCCCGCACCATCTTCTTCCTCTCCTTGTCGGACGTGGCCAGGTACCACTTCTGCAGGCGCAGCTTTCCCTGCCGGCTGAACAGCAGCATGAACCGCATCTGGGGGTGGGGAGGGAGAAGCGGAGCCGACCGTCAGGGAGCCCTGCCCTTTTTCTACTCAGCCCCTTGCTGTCGACTGGGGTGCTCCCATCAGCAGACGGCCTGTGTCTGTCGCTCGGGTCAAATCCCGGCTCTACCGGTCGGGCATGGCCTTGGCAAATTACTTTCTGCCGCCAGGTCTCAGTTTCCCTAACTGTAAGGACATCCTTACGGAGTTGTTAGGAGGGATCAAAGGAGCTGATGACGGTGGTTGGCACAAGGCAGGCGCTGTAGCACATTACGTATTCGCACTGTTATTCCCCGGCCTCCTCTTCCTAACCCTGTTACCCAGAGTGAAATGCACACTACAGTGACTAGGGCAGCACACAGCTGACAGCACAGGGATACCCTCTTCCACACTGCCCTGGGCAGAAGCTGGGTGTTTTGTGCCTCCAGAGGCTACCTCAATCTTCCATCCTTTGCCTACTGATGTCCCAAGCTTGCCCTGCCCCCCAGGGCCAGCCCCGTGCCCAGCGCAGTACCCCCAACAGCCCACCTGATGTTGGCACGCTCAGCCAACTCTCTGCAGCCATCCAGCATTCCTGCTATGCTCCTCTTAACTTTTCTTTCCTTTCCCAGTGGGTGCTTCTGACAGCCCACGCCTCCCCAGACACCCGGAGCCCATTCCAGTTAGGAGCTGCACACCCAGGGTGGCTCCCCTAGGAAACGTGTGTGGACCCAGAGAAAGCTGGGTAGTGAGAAGTGCATCCCCAGCTGCCCAGCTGGGAGTCCAGAGCCACATCCTGGAGTCTTCCCATGGACGCTACCAGAGCTGGAACCCCTGGGTGTGTGCAGTAGTAGTAGCTTAAGGGGCAAGAATCAGGGTTCGAGAGAACTGGATTATTTGGGGGGAGGGGGAGCAGGGACAGGGGATCCGTGTGGGGCTAAGATAAGCAGGTGGCGGCGAAGGAGCAGGAAGACGGAAGGCCTGGGTGCCGGAAAGAGAGTGGGACGGGGGCGGGCTGGACAGCGAGGAGCACCAGATCTGGGGAGCCCAGAACCCGGGTCCCCGGGAGCAAAACCTGGAGCCCACTCCACCTCCCCACCTCGGCCCGGCCTCCCCGCAAGCATGGCCAAGAACCGGGGCAGGACGGGCACTCCCGGACCCGGAAACTACTCCCTCGCACACCGCGCGCGCCCCGCGGCCCCCGCGCAGGTCCGGGCCGCCCCGGAGTAAGGGTCTCGGTGACCCCGCTCCCTCCCTCGCGGACTCGGCCGCCCGCGCCCCTCTCTCCCTCGCCCGGCTTCCCTGCGGCCGAGGTCGGGACCCCTTGCCCGGAGACCCGAGAGCGCCGCCCGGCTGCCGACCGTCCCGCCGCCCTCTAGTCAGCCTCCTCCCGTCCCACACAGGCGCCCCCTCCCCGCGTCGCTCCCTCCCGAGTGCCATTTCCAGCTCTGGCTTCCGAGGCCGGCTCGCCCACCCGCCCAGCTAAGGGAGGCCCTCTGAGGACCAGAGGGAAGAAAGAGCGGCTCACTCCGAGGGCGGCCCCCGAGGACCCCCGCAGGTGCAGCCCACGCTCCTCGGCTCCCCCTCCCCTCGCTCTTCGCACAGCCTACCATCCTGCAGCCTCCGGCTCGGCGCGTCCCTCTTCGGCCACCGTAGGCGCCAGCTCCACTCCCTTTCTTATCCTCTCGCCTTCTTCCCTCCCTCTCGGCTGAAGCCCCGCCCCGTCCCGCCCTGGCCCGGAGTGCCACCGCGCGGCGCTCTGCGCAGGCGCCGGCGCCGGGGGCCGCGCGGGCGGGGCTGGAGGCGGAGAAGCGGAAGCCATGGCAACCAGGTCCTCGACTTCGGCTTCGAGTAGCTCGGTCGTCATGGAAACAAGCTGCCCCCGTGGGTTGGCTCGGAGGATGGGGGAGGAGGCCGGCGTGGTCCTCGCGCTTCGGGGCCTTGTGGGGGCAAAAGGCGGGAAAAGGGGTGCGAGGTGGGTGGGGCGGTCCTGGGAGTTGGTGAGGAGGCCCAGGGTGGGCGTTAGGTGTGGGAAGGGGCAAAAGGCTGTGGCTAACTGGGCGGCGGGGTGGCGAGACGGACGGGGCGCGCGCCGTCTGTGGAGAAGCTTCGAGACGCTGGCCTCTCCTGAAGCGAGAGGAATGCAATACAGGAAGGGGCGCCCCCAGGGAATGTAAAAGAGAAATAGAGGCTCGGAGGGTCAGTGGGGCCAGAATCCCAAGGCTCCGATACCTTAGACCCAGTTGCATCACGCGCGTGTGTGTGTGTGTGTCCGAGGGCCGAGAGAGGCCGTGACGTGGTGTCCCGATGGGCAACGTGGCCGGGACCCCTCCTCCTCTCCTAGGCTGTGCTCCGAGACCCCTGCAGATAGACCTGAAGCCGTGTGCATAGATAGACCGTGTCTCCCCCCACCCCATAACCCAAGGCTCTGATAGAGTTTAATCTATAAATAAGGCACCGTAAGAGGTTGAAATGGAAAAATTATAACAATATGCTGGGAGAAAATTGCCCTTATCACTACTCTTGCCTTTTGGGGCCATTATTAAGAGTTACTTGAACGCACGCACCGTGATGCGGCACCCGTCAAGTTGATAACCGAGACAGCTATTAAGTGACTAACGAGGGAGTGCGTAGTGTCATTTGCAATCATCTCTATTTTTTTTTAAACTCCTTTTATTTCTTCCCGAGCAATCCGTGTGCTGTTCTAACAGCCCTGAACAATTGGATGCTTTCGGTGGTGGGTGTTTGTCATTCTGTGTCACCTCTCAGGCTCTCAACCCCCGCCTTGGAGTTTGGGAGTCCCCCCGCTTTGTGAGTCTAGGGGGAGATGGGCCAACCACTGCCCCCGCAAGGGAGCCTTTGAAATGTCCAGCTCCACCCCCCGCCACCGCCACCGCAGAGCCATGCCCGTCTTTGAGGGGCACCTTTCTAGATTTTGGGCCAGGAGGGGAAGGAGGTGGGTGTGACGTGATGGGGGGTAGGTACGGCTCCCGCAGAGGGTCAGTGGGTCCAGGGCGGCAGGGATGGTGTCCAGTGAAGGGGTGGGTGGGGGCACGGGCGCAAGGCGGGGGTTGTTGCTAGTGTGGGACCCCCCTCCAACCTGGGTCTCTGGCTGTCCTGGTTCCCTGAGCCTCCCTCTCTGCCCCCCCCTCCCCACAGCGCTCCATCGGCCAGACTTGTTTCTGCTGCCTGTTACCAAGAGTTCTACCCAGCTGACTCTATTACCCTGCTGTGGTGACCACTGACTGCCCGTGTGACTCGGCCTCCTCTCTCCCCTGGACTGTAAGTGCCCGCTGGGCTGGTGTCATAGACTGCCTCCGTTTCTTGCCAGCACGCAGCTGGTTGGTTAGCCTCAATTAGGATCCAGGTGGTGATAGCAATGGGGTGTGTCTGTGTCGCCCAAAAGTTCGTGTGTTAGAAACTCAGTTCTTCCGTGTGGCAGACTTGGGAGGTCTTCAGGAAGAATCAGTGCTTTATGTGTGGATTCTCACTCTCGTGGGACTGGGTTAGTGATCCAGGGAGTGGGTGGTTAGCAAGTGAGTCCACCCGTGGCATTCTCTCTACCTGCACACACCCACTCATCTGTCTACTTTCTGCCATAAGTTCAAGCAGCCCAGGGCCATCACCAGGCGCTGAGCGCACCTGCTCCACAGCCAGAAAATAAATCTTTTTTTTTTTTTAAATAAATAAGTCATCCAATCTCAGCTGTTTCGTTACAGCAGCAGCAAACAGACTAAGGCAGATGATTGAATCTGATTTCTCTTCCAAAGGTACTAAATTCTAGTTTCATAACTTTTTACTTTAAAAAATTTCTTGAGAGGCAGAGACAGAGAGAGAGCGAGCAAGTGAGCCGGGGGTGGGGGAGAGAGCGCCCATCTGCTAGTTCGCTTCCCAAACACCCATGGTGGTTGGGACTGGGCCTACTGAAGTAGGGAGCCAAGAATTCAGTTCAGATCTCCCCGTGGGTGACAGGAACCCAGCTACCTGCGCCGTCTCTGCTGTCTCCCGGAGTCTGCATCAGCCGGAAGCTGGAGGCAGGAGTCGGAGCCGAATATTGAGCTTGGTACCCGGAGGTGGACGCTGGCATGTGGAGGCCATCTTGGTGTGCGCTTTCAGTTCCGCGCTTAGTAGCACACATCTCCTATCTGTTATTTCCAGTAGGTGATGCACTGCCGCCTTCTGCTGTTTTCGCAGCCCCTAGCATGGTGCCTGACGCTGACCTGACGTTTGTTGAATTCCCCATTTGAGGATTCCGTTGTCTCAGACCTCGCACAAGTGGCTTACCGCTCCCTTCCTACTTCCCTGAGCCCATCCCGTCTCCTGGTTTCCTGCCGGGGTTGCTGCCATCGCCTTTTCCTAGACTTGCAGGTGGTAAGCCTGGCACATGAAGGGTAACATGGGAGCTTGGTTTCTGCAAGGGGCATGGGTAAGACTTGCCCAAGTAGACTGGGAGAGCTGAGAGAGAGAGAGAGAGAGAGAGAGAGAGAGAAGCTGGCAGGTTTAGCAGAGGCAGGAGAGCAGTCGGAAACCGACCTGGCCACCTGGGACTCGATCCTCATAGGTGTCCTCTGCCTCTTGCTGTGGCTTTTCTATTGTGGCTTTGTTCATGATGTTTTCTGGAATGTTCTACCACTCGCTCCTTTCAGACCCAAACCCATCTCACTTATTTTCTAAGGTCTCCGTTAAACAGCCGTTCCTCCCATGAGCCTTTAGGTGCTCGTGTAGATGACAGCTAGCGCTCACTTCTAGAATGTTCCGTCAATTGTTTTTGCAGCGACTTGTGTAGCGTTTCAGTGACCCCTTAAGAACCTGAAACTGAGAAGCACCGCTTCCCTTCACGAGGCCGGCGTCGTGGCGCAGTGGGTTAAGCCACCGCCGGTGATGCTGGTGATGCCGGCACGCCGTATTGGAGCACCGGTTTGAGTTCTGGCAGTTCCACTTCAGATCCAGCCGCCTGCTAATAACGCACATGGGAACACAGCAGTGCTTGGGCCCCTGCCACCCACATGGGAGACCCCGATGGGGTTCCAGGCTCCTGACTTTGGCCTGGCCCAGCCCTGGCCATTGTGGCCTTTTGGGCCCCTGCCACCCACGTGGGAGACACCCAGATGGAGTTCCAGGCTCCTGGCTTCAGCCAGACCCAGCCCCGGCCATTGCAGCCATGTGGGTGGGTGAACCAGTGGACGGAAGTTCTCCCTCTCTCTGTGTGTCCAGCAGATAGACACTCCCCCCCACCCCACCCCCCGTCTGTCTCTCTCTCTCTCTCACTTTGCCTTTCAAATAAGTAAAATAAATCTTAAAAGTGTTTTCAGTGCCCAGTATAAAGTTCAGCTTATAATCAATACTTGTTCGATTGAATGGAGTTCAAACTGGGCACGATTCTGGTCGCAGTCCCAGCTGCTTTGCCTCAGAGAACGTTCCGTTGGCATCAAAGCGACATCTGGTGGCCGGGGAGTAAAAGGTTCCCTCCTCCAGTGAGGAGGCCCGCGCGAAGGCAGAGGGTGCTGGTGCCGGTACAGGAGAGCGGTCCCTGGGCTCCTGAGTGTGTGGAGCTCCTCCTGGTGCCCAGAGCAGACTCGTTCCTGCTCACAGGGGGCGCCGAGAGAACGGGCGCCATCGGAGCTGCGTCCTTTCTCCGCCTCCGTCTCCGCATCTCTGCTCCTGCGAGTGCTGCCCTGATGGCAACCAGACTTCCTTGAGGAGTCGCGTTTAAAAGGAGGCTTGGAAAACAGATATCCCCCTGACAAGTGTCATTCCAATAGCTTTTTAAAAAATGTTTATTTGAAAGGTGGAGTTACAAAGAGAGAAGAGACAGAGACACACACACACAGAGAGGGAGCGCTTCCATCCACTGGTTCACCCACCCACATGGCTGCAAAGGCCGGGGCTGGGTCTGGCTGAAGCCAGGAGCCTGGAGCTCCATCTGGGTCTCCCACGTGGGTGGCAGGGGCCCAAGCACTTGGGCCATCTTCCGCTGCCTTCCCAAGGGAGCTGGATCATAAGTGGAGCAGCTGGGACTCCCACGGGTGCTCCTATGAGATGCCGGCATCACTCCACAACACTGTCCCCATTCATTCATTCATTCAATCAATCATTCATTCATTTGAAAGGCAGAGTTGCAGCAGGAGGGAGAGACAGAGACAGACAGAGATGGGGGTGGGGGCCCAGCGCCGTGTCTTTCCCTTCAAGGCCTCTACAACACCCATACTGCTTGCCCACACAGGCAGATCACTAATTCCACCAAGTGAGCTTTTTACAAGAAATCTGCAGCTGTGCTGGCTGTGGGGCAGATCTGGTTCATTTTTCAACCTCACAGAAATGGCAAAAGGAGGAGACAGTTACAACAGCCCAGGAAGGGGGCCCGGGTGAGGTCACGGCCGCAGCGGCAGGCAGGCCGTGTGCTGTGAGGCCCTGTTATCTTTGAGCGCAGGGGGAGCGCTGTGAAGTGGGGCACTGCCTGGAGCAGCCTTCCCCGGGCGAGGGGACCTTTGAGCCGCTGCTTTCTCTGGAGCCTTCCCAGCAGGTGTGCACGGTCTTTGAAGTATACGCCGCCGCAGAATCGGGGCTAACTTGTCTTGCTTTGTGAAGCGTTTTGTGCGGGGAAGAGGATCTTTAGGTTTTTGAACGAATCCATTACAGATGGGCGACTCTCCAGCCACTAGCCTGGGGCCTGGAATTGTTCTTATTTTTAGGATAGAAGGAAATCAAAAGCTATATCTAGGTCCCCGTGTCCCTGTAGCCTCCGTGACCCCAGCTACCCCGCGGGAGCCCAGAGGTGGGTCTGCACGAGTCGGACAAGTCGGGCGTGAGGAGGGAAGCCGGAGTTTTGGCCACAGCCGCCAGCACGGCTCCCCCAGCCCCGTCGGTTCAGAGCCAGTGTCTGTGCAGGGAGAGTGGGCTCACGGCTTTCCTCCCACTAGGTCCGTGACTCCGTCTCGACCCTGCAAGCTTGCACATGGAGACCATGAGAGAAAAGATGGGTTGGGTGAGAGCCGCCCAACCCATGCCTCTCGCCCTCGCTCCCGCTGGCTTTTTGAGGAGAGGCCCTTGCTTCTGTGTTTGCCTGGACTTTGAGGCCCCTTGGGTGAATCTGAAGATGGGCTCTATGTGGAAGGGCGCCCACAAGCATGCCCCAGAGAATCCGGGCACTCGGTGTCAGAGCAGCCAGGAATGCCCCCAGAGTGACCTTTGAGAGGGAAACAGAAAGGGGAGCACGCTCAGGAGGCCTTCGGCTGTGTGGTTAAGGTGGGAGTAAACAGTGGGGGAATGGATTTACTCTCTTTACATTATAGGCAGGGGAAGGCATCTGCTTCTGATTAAGATACAGCCTGGGACTCCCCTATCCGAGTGCCTGGGCTTGCGTCCCAGCTCCTCTGGGTGCAATCCAGTTTCCTGCTAACACGCACCGTGGGGGGCAGCAAGTGAGGCCTCAAGCACTTGGGTCCCTGCCACTCAAGTGGGAGGCTCTGGTTGAGCTCTTGGCTCCTGGCTTTGGCCTGGCCCAGCCCAGGCTGTGGTGGGCATTTGGGGAGTGAACCAGTGGATTGGAGCTCTGTCTCTCTTTTTCTCTCTGACTTTCAAATAAAAATTAAAAAGAAAACATGATCAGAACTTGCTCCCAGGAAGTCTAACATTTTAGAGAAAAAGAGGTGTCTTCCATCTGGTGGTTCACTCCCCAAGTGGCCACAACAGCCAGGGCTGAGCCAGGCTGAAGCCAGGAGCCGGGAGCTTCATTCAGGTCTCCCACGTGGGTGCAGGGGTCCAACACTTGGGCCATCCTCCACTGCTTTCCCAGGCCATAGCAGAGAGCTGGATCAGAAGTGGAGCAGCCGGGACTCGAACCGGTACCCATAGGGGATGCTGGCACTGCAGATGGTGGCTTTACCCGCTACGCCACAGAGCTGGCCCTGAGGTCCTTCTTAAGTGTGAGAAAATGTCAGATCTCACCAGGCAGAAGGATTCCTTTTGATTGTCCTGCACTGTTTGAAAATGTTCATGTTGCCAGCGTCAGGCGGTTTCAGGACTGGGAGGTTCATAAGTGAGACGCTGAGTCGTGTTGATGGGAAGTTGTCCTCCGGGTACACGAGCACCCGAGGGCAGGACAGAGGAAGGTCGCTTGCCTCAGCCTTGTGGGCAGTGCCCGCTCTGGGTGGGTAAGGGACTGTGGGATTGTGGGATTGTAGTGCGTCTGTGTGTGCAGCCGGCAAAGATGATTCATTCAGGCGAGGTGTCCAGGCTGTGTCACCAGGCAAGTAAAGCGACCTGTAGAACACTGTACATCTTTGTGATGCTTTTATTTGTGTGGGAAGAAAAAGATTATTTTAAAAACGCTTGTAATTGCTTAGCAAAGTTCTAAAAGAATATCCAAGACACTGGAGCCTCTTACTTTCCAGTTTTACCTTTTCAAACTCTTCATCTTACTATGAGAGCTTGCTTTAGCAATTTAAAAAAGTCACTTTGGGAGTGGGCATTTAACCTCGCAGTAAGGCACAGGCACCAGCCTTCCACATCAGATTGCCTGGGTTCAAGTCTCCTGACTGCAGCTTCCTGCTGGTGTAGACCCTGGGAGGTGGCAGGGATGGCCCAGGTACTTGGGTTCCTGCCATCCATGAGGGAGACTCGGATAGAGTCCTGGCTCTTGGCTTGAGCCCAGCCACCTTTCCCAGCTGGGCATGTGGGGTGTGAACCAGCGGATGGGAGGAAGCCCACTCTCTCTCTCCCCATGTCTTTTTTTTTTTTTTTTTGACAGGCAGAGTGGACAGTGAGAGAGAGAGACAGAGAGAAAGGTCTTCCTTTGTCGTTGGTTCACCCTCCAATGGCCGCCGCGGCTGGCGCGCTGCGGCCGGCGCACCGCGCTGATCCGATGGCAGGAGCCAGGAGCCAGGTGCTTTTCCTGGTCTCCCATGGGGTGCAGGGCCCAAGCACCTGGGCCATCCTCCACTGCACTCCCTGGCCACAGCAGAGGGCTGGCCTGGAAGAGGGGCAACCGGGACAGAATCCAGCGCCCCGACCGGGACTAGAACCCGGTGTGCCGGCGCCGCTAGGCGGAGGATTAGCCTAGTGAGCCGCGGCGCCAGCCTCTCCCCATGTCTTTCTCTCAAATGAAAGGTATTTTAAAAAGTCACTTTGCCTTATATGGACCCTCCCTGCAGGGCAGTCATTCTGGTTGTCCTTTTTTTATTTTTTTTAAAGATTTATTTATTTATTTGAAAGTCAGAGTTACACAGAGAGAGGAGAGGGAGAGGGGGAGAGGGGGAGAGGGGGAGAGAGGGAGAGAGAGAGAGAGAGAGAGAGAGAGAGAGAGAGAGGTCTTTCATCTGCTGGTTCACTCCCCAATTGGTTGCAACGGCCAGAGCTGCGCTGATCCAAAG